TGCTTCAGGTTGCACTCGACTATATTGGAAAACGTGGTGCAACTGTTGGTGTAACCAAGGAAAAGAGGATAAAGTATGTTATAAGTCAATTAAGTTGGGCAATATAATCTAAGATATCAACTATTGAGATCTTCACACTGGAGGTTTGCAATTGCAATATTATCATTGCAGGTATGCTAAAGATATTCTTCAGAAAGAAATGCTTCCTCATGTAGGAGTTGGGGAATATTGTGAGACGAAGAAAGCCTACTATTTTGGGTAGGTATTTAATTCGCTTGTATTCTTTCAGATTTCATATGTTTTTGTGTTGCTCATATTAAGTTATAACCCTTAGGTATATCATACACCGGTTGCTGCTTTGTGCACTTGGCCGAAGGCCAGAAGATGATAGAGACCATTATGGTAACAAAAGGCTGGATCTTGCTGGTCCCTTACTTGGAGGACTGTTTAGAATGGTTTGTTACCAGCCCCCAATCATGCATTAGTTAAAATTTGAAGAATGTTAAGTATCACTTTTTCTTAATCTCTTATTGACTTAACATCTTATTTACCCTTTATACCTGCAGCTTTTCAGAAAGCTCACAAGGGATGTGAGATCTTATGTTCAGAAGGTCTCTTACATAGTTACTCTTTCTAGCGCCGATGACTTCAATTCTAGCTTGTTATTTTGTGTTTGGAAGTCTAATTCATGTCAATTTAACAGTGCGTTGACCATGGCAAAGAAGTCAATCTTCAATTTGCCATTAAGGCTAAAACAATTACCTCTGGTCTGAAATATTCTCTTGCTACTGGGAACTGGGGCCAGGCAAACGCTGCTGGCACAAGAGCTGGAGTCTCTCAGGTTAGGATATTTCTTTGTTTCTTCTGTTTTTAAGTTCAAATAAATGTATGTTATTAGGTTTACAGTTTTGGTCTATCATAGTTTATTGCATGTTTTACATGGTTCTGAAGTCTTAACTAACAACAGGTTCTAAATCGGTTAACATATGCTTCCACTTTGTCACATCTGAGGCGTCTCAATTCTCCAATAGGCCGTGAAGGTAAAGCCTCATTCTTCCTTGCACTTATATTTTGTCTTAGATAGTGTATCTGTTAGTGCAGTTGGCGGATCTTAGTCATAGTGCTCTTTGTTATCCATGTCCTTGCAAGTTATATTGGCTTGTTTATCCCACCTGAATCTTAATCGAGTTTGGTATGCCAGGAAAATTGGCAAAACCAAGACAACTGCACAACTCGCAGTGGGGAATGATGTGTCCTGCTGAGACACCTGAAGGACAGGTAAAAATTGTAACATTTATAGAGACAATGGTGTTTTGGGTTTCATTTAGTTCCATGGCTCATTGTGCCTTCACTGTACCAGGCGTGTGGTCTAGTGAAGAACTTGGCCCTCATGGTCTACATAACAGTTGGATCAGCTGCGTATCCCATATTGGAGTTTTTGGAAGAATGGGGTACTGAGAATTTTGAGGTCCGTAGCATTTCACAGTCAGATTCTTACTTAATTTCTGCCACATCGTTTCCTATGGTTTTCTCAAAGTCTTTGCTTGAATGTAGGAAATCTCTCCATCTGTTATACCCCAAGCGACAAAAATCTTTGTCAATGGAATGTGGGTTGGAGTTCATCGAGATCCTGACATGTTAGTGACCACGTTGAGACGTTTGAGAAGAAGGGTACGCATTCACTTTCTTTTATCATTCCAAATGTTTTAGTAAATGAATTGCAACTTGTAGTGGATGTGATGTATTTCTTTTTCCTCTTGCAGGTTGATGTTAACACTGAAGTTGGTGTTGTTAGAGATATTCGCCTGAAAGAGCTCCGAATATACACTGATTACGGACGCTGCAGTCGCCCGTTGTTTATTGTGGATAAGCAGAAGTTGTTAATAAAGAAGAGCGACATATATGCTCTTCAACAAAGGGTAAAATTCTAATTCTCTGTTCTTATGTGCTTTTTGTTTATAACCTTGTAATACCAATATCTGTTTTCATAACCCAGGAAAGTGCAGAAGAAGATGGTTGGCATCATCTAGTTGCAAAGGGATTTATAGAATACATAGACACAGAGGAAGAGGAGACAACCATGATTTCCATGACTATAAATGTGAGTAATAGAATGATAATATGATTAAATTAGCTTGTGGGTGCACTAAATTCCCAGAAAACTCACTCCTAAATTGATATTAGGATCTGGTTCAAGCTAGACTCCGCCCGGATGAGGCTTATTCTGAAACTTACACACATTGTGAGATTCACCCATCTTTAATATTGGGGGTGTGTGCTTCAATTATACCCTTTCCTGACCATAATCAGGTATCTTCCTCTCTAATTGATTTTTCTGTGAGAAGCAATTTCACTATGCAATTCAGTTTCATGCTAACTAACTCGTTTACTCTTCTCTGCCCGTTTTTGTTTTGATGAATTAGTCACCCCGTAATACATACCAATCTGCTATGGGGAAGCAAGCAATGGGAATTTATGTCACCAACTACCAGTTCCGCATGGTATGTTTTAAGCTCTAAATTTGGTTTTTTTCCTGCCATGTTTCGTTATATCATGACATTATTATTGTTTTGTCAACCAGGATACGTTAGCCTATGTTCTCTATTACCCTCAAAAGCCTCTGGTTACCACAAGAGCAATGGAGCATCTTCACTTTAGGCAACTTCCAGCAGGAATTGTGAGTTATTTTTGCTAGAAGCCTTTCAGAATTCAGATTTTATTCTTCTATCAAATCTCTCAAATTTTTTGTTTTTTTCTTCCTTCTTGTGTAGAATGCTATTGTTGCTATTTCTTGCTACTCTGGATATAATCAAGAAGATTCTGTCATCATGAATCAGTCTTCAATAGATCGTGGTTTCTTTCGATCCTTGTTCTTTCGGTCTTACAGGTGAGTATGCCATACTTGTGGACATTTGCTTTCGGTTTTTCCATTTGTTTTACACTGCAATCTGTCTGCTCCAGAGATGAGGAGAAAAAAATGGGGACACTTGTCAAAGAAGACTTTGGGCGCCCAGACAGAGCAACTACAATGGTAAGAAATAATTTGACACTCACGGTTCATATCTCTTTGGTGCTTTTTGTAAGTGGAGTTTAACACTTAGAGTACTGCTGCAGGGTATGCGCCATGGTTCTTATGAGAAACTGGATGATGATGGTCTTGCACCTCCTGTAAGTATATAATTTGTTGTTCTTTTTGTGGTTATATCTGATATGATTAGGTGGTTAATGTTAGAAAATATATCATATAATTTGTTCTTCTCTGGTATAGGGTACTAGAGTTACAGGTGAAGATGTAATCATTGGGAAAACCACTCCAATATCTCAGGATGAGGCTCAAGGACAAGCATCACGATACACTAGACGTGATCATAGTATAAGCTTGCGACATAGTGAGACTGGAATGGTGGATCAGGTAACTTTGGGTTTTTTCTTGCATTTGATTTTAGAAAGATTCAGTGAACTATGAAACAGATCATATTTTGTTTAACATAAAGCTGGGGTTGGGAATGTTCTCTAATTTTATATCTTCTGAACTTCTTGTAGGTGTTATTGACAACAAATGCAGATGGTTTGAGGTTTGTGAAAGTGAGGGTTAGATCCGTTCGGATCCCTCAGATTGGAGACAAATTTAGTAGTAGACACGGTCAGAAGGGAACTGTTGGCATGACCTATACGCAAGAAGACATGCCTTGGACGATTGAAGGCGTCACTCCCGATATTATTGTGAATCCACACGCTATTCCGTCTCGAATGACAATTGGACAGCTAATTGAGTGCATCATGGGAAAAGTGGCAGCCCACATGGGAAAAGAAGGAGATGCTACTCCTTTTACTGATGTCACGGTAACTTACATTTTCTTTAACTCTGCTTGGTTAGTTGTGGCTTACGGACTTGGTTAACTTAGCGGCTTGGTTAGGCGTTACATAATTTTGACTGTTGTTGTGTCTTTAGGTGGATAATATAAGCAAGGCTCTTCATAAATGTGGGTACCAGATGCGTGGTTTTGAGAGAATGTACAATGGTCACACGGGAAGACCACTCACTGCTATGATATTCCTTGGACCAACGTATTACCAAAGACTGAAGCATATGGTTGATGACAAGATTCACTCGCGTGGACGAGGTCCAGTGCAAATCCTCACAAGGCAACCAGCTGAAGGGCGATCCCGTGATGGTGGTCTCCGTTTTGGAGAGATGGAACGCGATTGCATGATTGCACACGGTGCTGCTCACTTTTTGAAAGAGAGGCTGTTTGATCAGAGTGATGCCTACAGGATTCACGTGTGTGAAACCTGTGGGCTCATTGCCATAGCAAACTTAAAGAAGAACTCGTTTGAATGCCGAGGTTGCAAGAACAAAACTGATATCGTTCAGGTAATTTCCCAAAACCCTTAAAAACGGTTTAGCTTCGTCTTTATCTTCTTCATGCTCATCTCTGATGGAATTTCATTTCATCTAAATCTTCGCAGGTTCACATTCCATATGCCTGCAAGTTGCTCTTTCAGGAGCTCATGTCAATGGCTATTGCTCCACGGATGCTCACTAAACAACTCAAGTCCCATAAAGGCAGAAAGTGAGGAGCTTTGGTCTCTGATTGTGTGAAACATTTGATCTTTCTTTCTCTCTTTTGGTCGTAGCTTTGTAACAACAAAAAACTGGATTACAAATTTTGTAAGGATTTATGTATTCCTTCTGAAACTATAAAATGATATAATGTCAAAGTGACTATATGTTTATGTTTTTCGTATTCCAACTACACAACGAGTTTAGCAATTATTCTCATGTGCCAACTACAAAATGTAACCGTACACGAAGAGGGACAAGGCTTTGAGGGTTCAAAAGAAAGATTTAGGGGTAAAGTTGAATAATAATTAAAGGTTTAGGTTTAATTATCAATTTAACATAAATCTAAGACCTTTATGTAATTTCGCAAATTCGTTCTAAGCACTGAAGAGACAGTATTCGCCGGGTTTTTTCATCGTCTTCTTCGCCGGAATCAATGAATATCCTGAGGCGACTCCCGGCGAATTTGATCGCGAGCAGATATTACTACACTAACAAGATAAAGAAGACGACCCTTTATTCCAAAATCAGTCCTTTAGGAAACCCTAAATCACGCGTTTACCCAGAACTCCAAAACTGGGTTCAATCCGGTAAAAAAGTCTCAGTCGCTGAGCTTGTTCGCATCGTTCACGATCTTCGTAAACGCAAACGATTCCTCCACGCTCTAGAGGTAAGTAATTTACAAAAACATCAGGTGTCTTCTTACCCTCTTTAGCTCCCGACAAATTTCCTAGGGTTTTTGTGTTTTTGATTCAGGTTTTGAAATGGATGAACGAGACAGGTTTATGTGTGTTCTCACCAACAGAACACGCAGTTCATCTTGATCTTATTGGTAGGGTTAATGGATTCGTCTCTGCACAAGAGTATTTCGAAAACCTCAAAGAACAATACAAGAACGATAAGACTTATGGTGCGCTTTTGAATTGTTACGTTAGGCAACAGAACGTTGAGAAATCTCTATTGCATTTCCAGAAGATGAAAGAGATGGGTTTCGTTACTTCGTCTCTTACTTACAACAACATTATGTGTCTCTACACGAATATCGGTCAGCACGAAAAAGTTCCCGGTGTTTTCGATGAAATGAAGGAAGAGAATGTTGCGCCGGATAATTATAGTTTTAGGATCTGTATTAATGCTTTTGGTGCTATGTCTGATCTTGAAAAGATTGGTAAAATCTTGAGAGATATGGAGAGGCAACCGGATATTACAATGGATTGGAACACTTACGCTGTTGCTGCGAAATTTTATATCGATGGTGGTGATCGTGATAGAGCGATTGAGCTTTTGAAAATGTCGGAAGATAGATTGGAGAAGAAGGATGGTCAAGGTTATAATCATCTCATTACGCTCTATGCTAGGTTAGGGAACAAGACAGAGGTATTAAGGTTATGGGATTTGGAGAAAGATGTTTGTAAAAGACGAATAAATCAGGACTACCTTATTATGTTGCAGTCGCTTGTGAAGATTGATGCTTTCGAAGAAGCTGAGGAAGTGCTTACGGAATGGCCATCATCGGGAAACTGTTATGATTTCCGAGTGCCTAACGTTGTGATTCGTGGGTATGTTGGAAAAAGTATGGAGGAGAAAGCAGAAGCTATTCTTGAAGATTTAGCGAAGAGAGGGAAAGCTACTACACAAGAATTATGGGGACTTGTGGCTACTGCGTATGCGGAAAAGGGTGTATTAGATAATGCTTTCAAGTGTATGAACACTGCCTTAGGTGTTCAAGTAGGGAACAGAAAATGGAGACCCGGGTCGAAGCTGGTTACAAGTGTTTTAAGTTGGCTCGGCGATGAAGGAAGCTTGAAAGAAGTAGAAAGCTTTGTTGCGTCGCTTAGGAATTGTATCGGTGTCAACAGACAGATGTATCATGCTCTTGTCAAGGCTGGTATTAGAGAAGGCGGAAGCAACATTGATACTCTGTTGCAGCGAATGAAAGATGACAAAATTGAAACCGATGAAGAAACCACGGCAATTCTCAGCACAAGAAGACCTTGCTGAGTTTATCTTCTTCTTACTTACCTCAAGCACCAGAATTAGACGTCTCTATTGCGATAGTCGGTCTGAGGCCCTCATTGTCCTGCAGCTCCATGGATTTAGTAAAGAATCACGAAGCTGACACGAATTGCTGATGAGCTGAAACAGAATACGAGTTGCGAACCTCCATGAGGACCTGGGGAGGATCTCATTCTCTGACAAAACATCAAATGTAATGTTCTTTGTCTGGTAAAAACACTCTTTGCACTCTGGTTTTCATACCATCAATTGTATCATTTACGAGAGAATACTCTGTTATTGTTCAAATGCCGTCAACAGAACACAAGGATGCAATCTGGCTTAATTTTTATTAAAGTTTACATATTCACTCTGTAACAATTTGTATTCCCACCAAAAGAAAAAAATCTGTAGAGGATACAGTGAGATAAGATAATGATTTGTATAGCAACAAAATTGTTGGTCTCTGTATATTGTCAAGAATCATTTGAACTGTGTTTGCTAACCAGTTTGCTGTAGCTCTACAACTTTCTCATATCCTACATTATCTTTGAATCTCTTGGGAATGAAACAACGAGCACCGAATCGCTGCTGCAAGAAAATCAGAAATGCAAAGAGAAAACCAATGCAGAGGATGATGATATCCCATGCCGTGGAGTAATAATCCATCTTGTGATTTGCATAAATGAATGACCAATCGAGAATCTTCCCGTAGCTGTGACTTCTGTACAGATCATAAGCATGAGGAAGCAATCGAACGATGCTGTTTCCACAATAAAATGAAGCGGCAAGAGCCTCTGAGTCCGAGTTGCTGAATCCGTTGAAGAGTATTTGAGGAAGGAGGAATGCGTCAAGCATCAATCCTCCATAAGATTTCAGATCTTTCCACAAAGGAGGACGCTGAAACGAGCGTTTCAGGTTCACTGGACGGTATAAGAGATTCCGTGCACGCGGTTTCCCTATGTATACCACTCTTTTAGGAGTTCTATTACGGTTCACTAACCAAGCAATCAATCCACCTGTGATGTACAGAGGTAAACACACATAAGAAACCTTCTTCTCTGCATTCCACACGCCTTCACGGTGATGATGCTCTTCGGTATTTCTAGCAGTCCAAGCTTGCTGGAGAAGACGGCACTCGAGTAAGAAAGCTATCATTCTCACTATCCTCACCACAATCTCCTTGGTTTCAAGCCATCTGTCATTCTCGAAGAACAGGCTCTGCTGGTTTTGGCTGCTTTTGAAGAGTTCTTCGAAGTTCAACAGCAGAGGAATCATGTGACCTAATGTCAGAAGTATCACCATTGTAATGGATATGAAAGGAACAGCTTCTTGGTGTTTCTTCATGTGGTACAGTTGCATCCCCACAAAGAGACATGAAAATGTATTGGATATTAGAACCATAGCAACCTCCAAATCCATTCTCCAAACAGATTCTTTGGCTTGATGAACATATATTGACCTTGACAAAACCTCCATACCTCCAACATAAAGCGGATCTGTCTTTTCCCGTGTACTTTCGATGATTCCTTTTAAACGGTCATCGCTTTTCGAATCAATTGGAGAAAACTTGATCTTGATTGCAAGATTGCAATCCACGGTCTCATTTCTCATTGCCATTGTGCTCTTTAGCTTAAGTGATTGACATCCTACCATACATAGCTCACCTGTATCCCGATCATATGTTCCCTCTGCATAGATATCTCCACGAGATTCAGAAAAAGGATTTAAAAAGTGGATTCTGTAAGTGATATTTGTGAAGCTATTGTTGACGTTGTAGACATTCATAGGAGGTCCAGTTACCCCAGCTGCTTGCCCACGAACGAAAAGCTCACGATACAATCGATCTCCCACAAAGTAAGGGCTTGCATGGGCAGATCTCAACACATTACCTCCCACAGAATCTTTCACTGACATGACAAATCTCATGTCTGAGGTTTGAGCATCAGGGTAATTCTTTCCTTTGCTTTTGAGGCGACTCGTTCTGGTGCCACATAATTTACTCACTCTCTCGCTTTCTGTATACTCATATCTCACGCCCGGGAAGCGCCACAGTGGACCCTTTAGGCTCGAAAACTCAATTTTTCTGAAGTAGCTTGGATCACTCTCTGTTTTGGCACTCCAAAGCTGCCCAACTAGCGGAGCCCTGCTTTTTATCGACAAGATAGCGGG